CGGGGCCGGCCCGGCCCGGCTCCCACCCCGCAGGGAAGCGGAGCCCTCTGCCCTCGCCTCCCCCCGGCGCTTTCCTGGGGTAACTTGTGCGGAAACCCGACACGTTCGGGTTTGTCAGAAGCACCTGATCAGTGTTTCCTTCCAGAGCATGAGGCCCTGCTCGCTGCAATGGAAGGGTGGCCAGTTCCCATCCCTGGGGCTTGGGTTAAGGTCAGTCAAGGTTTTCTGTAAGAATCGTGTAATACTTTTAAAGATACCCAGATTTCACAAGTGTGGATCCTCAGTCCCTTCAGTCACCTGCCTACCTCCCGAGCTGCCCAAGCACCTTGCAAGATCCAGCTCTTCCTTCCTCTTCATCGCTAACACAGCACAACTCCCTGTTGGAAAAAGCAGAGGCACATGCTGTGAAGGGAAATAAGCGTCAGGAGGACACGGATGCTACACTGCAAACCGCTCCGTACAGTTAGTTCACCAACAGAGTGGGACCTAACACAGTACTTGCTGCTCTGCCTCTTAATAGGATCAGACTAAATTCTTGATACTGCTGTGGCATTAAACCTAGAGCTGTTCCCCCTTTGTTGACTGCTGGGAAGGAAACACAGAGCACCCAGCCCAGAAAAAAAACACATCATTATGCACCGTTTCCCCTCTAGTTATTTAAATATATTGTGTTAAAAATAAAAATGGATCAACATGTAGAAAAATCAAAGCACAATCAATAAACAAATCACCCCATTGCTTCACATAGATCTTATTTTATTTATATAGAACAAAAAGAAGAATCAAACACTTCATCTGAGGCAAATAAACAGGTCCCACACTGATGAATAAAAGTTCTGTTTCTCCAGCTAAGTAAGAGTTTTCCACAAGGCTTACTTGCTGCTTCAGGTCATCACTCAGTCTGCTTCAAACACACAGTGCCTTTATTTATTTATTTGCGTATATAGCAAATCACATATGCCAAAAAAGTACTATGTGAATTGCAAATTTAAACAAAGCCACATATTCTATTCTTTCTGTATATTCCTTTTTATCCCTTCTTTAGTTAGAAGCATGCAATTCTGATCAAAAACACATGTAACTCAAGGCACAAAGTGTCCTATTGCTGTACTTAGCTGTATTTGTCTTAATGGAGTATATTCAGTCCAATATTACACCCCTGTAAAATTGGGATAACTATATCAAAAACAGTTTAGCACATCATTGTCTATATTATTAGTATTCATTTTAGTAAGAGTGTTAGCTGTCACTTTGGAGATATTTATGAAGATAAAATTCCTGCCTGAATAGTTTACAAAATAGCACACACAAATAATAACAAGTCTGTTTTTTTCCACCTTCTTACATTGCCAATTGCATTAACCTGCCATTGATCCTCCTACTTACTAGGCAAGGTCTTGTCTAGTGGGAGAAGTTGCAGCTGGAGCTCCCTAAACTAGGTGACTTAAATTGACTTTATCATCTCTTCAATCAGTTTAGCTGAATTTTGTAAATTACAAAAACAATTTAAAGAGGTAGCAAACTGTTTTAAGTGCATCTGGCTTATAATCAGTCTTTTTAAACTAGTTCAACATTTTCTTGTGTAGACATGGCCTAGATTATTATCTGTCATGGATAAAATAATAGATCCAAATCTTACGGCACATTACAAGCAGGGAGTGCTACCAACCCCAATGGCAAAATGGGCCTATTACATCATGCAGGAAACGAAAAATAAAACCCTCTGTACCAGAAGAACAGAGAAGAGACATGACTGTCTTGTTGTGATGCTT